ATTCCCAGCACCAATATGGTGGCTCACAATTGTCTGCAACTCCAGTTCCAAGGGATCTCATGCCCTCTTCTGGGCTCCTCAGGCACCAGGCATATACATGCTTCACACACATACATGTAGGCAAACACATCCAATATAAAAATAAATAAAATTTATAGATACTGTGAAAGCTGCCAAGGGAGAAAACCAATCAGTGATCCTATCCAGCTGTAAAGTCTACAAACCACAATCATCAGCTCAGCAAATAATTTCTATTGGTGCAGTAGAACTTTTGTCTTGGGGATAATCAAAAGTTGCCTAATTGGACTTAAGGTCCACTCAATGGGAGGGAAATAATGCAAGGTACACTGTAAATATAGCCAGGTACATATGGCTGGAGATGTCAGAGACTCTAGAGAAACCTACTTCTATCACTTTCCTAGACTAATGTAATATCTTACTGTATTCTAAATACATAGTCTTATATTTACAGACAAGTGTACCTCTTGCCACTCATCAAAGAAGCTTCTTTCTACAACAGGTAGAGACTATTACCAAGTTCCACAAGTGGTCAAACTCAGAGAATAAGTGTCTTTGAGGTGCCCAGCCCTAACTGACTCATCTACAATGCAACTTCTGCACCTAAGGCTCAGGGAACATCTTGGAAAATGGGGCAGAAAGAATGTAAAACTCTAAGGGATGAGACATCTGCTGCTAGTTAATGCGGTCTAGACATGATAGGGAAGCTACACCAGTTGAGTCTCCACTGTGTAGTAGCCTAACAAGATCTGTACAAAGAAAAGCCAGCTGACATGCCAAGGTGGATGGGGGAAATTTCACAGGGTCCCACCTCAAGATGAAGAGCTACAGGCAATCAATGGATGCTGAGGAAGAGAGCATCAGACTCGCCCCCTGAGATGTTATCTAATTCCAAGTGGGCCCTAAACACAGGTACACATGGGCACCACTAAATGGATAGGACAATGGATACTAGAAGACAAGCCATCTGCTTGGGCAGGGTAGGTTTTAGGTAGAGAAGTCTTTTTTCCAAATGGGTAGGATCTCAAACGTCTCAGTCCCATACTGGGGAACACAGATTCATCTTTACCCTGACCAAGCCACAAGTACTCTACACGTACCAGGGTGAAAGAAGGTTTGTTGAATAGTAGGCACCGTTGCTAGCACTCCTTCAAAAAAAGTTTTTGTCTGTTTGTTTTGGTCTTTTTGAGACAGCTGTAGTCCCAGCTGGCCTGGAACTAAGTAGACCAGGCTGTCCTTGAATTCACAGAGATTCACCTGCTTCTTCCTGAGTACTGGGATTAAAGGCATGTGCCAACATTCCTGGCTCAAACAAACTTTTAAATAAGTTTTTCCTTCAATATAATGGAGCTGTGGAGACACAGGTTTTCTCCTCAGCCTTAGCTAGACATAAACTTGAATCCATTTTCACTCACTGAAGCAGAGAAAGAGCTCTGCAAACGTACAGTCCACCTGGCCTTCAGTGCTCCTCTTTCCAAGCTCTCATATCTTCAGACCCAAACTAGTTTGTTCAGGGCACATCAAGGGCTTACAGTTTAGTAATCTGACAAGAGGTCATATTTAGCCACACAGCACAACACACGCATTATTTAATTTAGAGTCTCTATTCTGCCAACCTTCATCTTCAGGCCACCGCTTATGGATGTTGAAGAAAAGCAGGTCTGCTTTAGAAAGGTTTTTGTAAACTTCCCCTCAAAGACATTGGTTTATCATGAGTCAGCTTCTTTGTTGTCAATTCATTCCAAGGGTGTCACTTTAAAGGACATAACACCCTCACAGCTAGCCTAACTGCCCATCCTTGAATCGGTCATATAGTAAATACAAAGTGATGAGGCCCACAGAGAGTGAAACAAAGCCTTTTGTTGTGTGTGGCTGTTTAAAAGGTATTTTATTACTTGGAAGCATGGATTTTAGAGGCAGAGAGAAGACTCAGATACTTAATTGGCAATGCCCTCCACAAGAATGTAAGTGTGAGGCCCTTTGCTAAAACGAGAATTTCATGACAATGACAATAAAGCAGTAAAGCAAGTCTGGGAATCCGATGTAGGTGGGAACCCCTGATACCGTGCCCTAGAGTCTTGAATTCAAATCTTGCTTTTGCCTCTTGTGGTGGTTTGAATGAGAATATCCTCCCAAGTCTTTGAACACTTTGTCAGCAGTTGGTGGTGCTGTTTTAGGAGACTTTAGGAGGTGTGGTCTTGCTGGATGAAGTGTGTCACTGCGGGTGAGCTTTGAGAGGTCTTAAGCCTTGTCAGATTTTCAGTTGCTCTCTACTTCCTGTGCTTGCTTCAAGATGTGAGTGCTTAGCTTTCTTTTCCTGCTCCAGCCACCTCACTATGTATCCCTGTCATGGACTCCAATCCCTCTGGAACCTGGAACTGTTGGCTCAAATAAACTCTTCTTCCTATATGTTCCCTTGTTCATGGTGTTTTATCACAGCAACAGAAAGGTAACTAATACACCTCTAAAGCTTCCTGACTTTAGACAAGCTACCTTCCTAGAACCTCACTTTTTTCATCCATAAAATAGCAATAATGGAACCTCTTCTGAAGAGTTGTCTGAGGGTGAAATGAAACATGACATGTGGCAGTCACACATTCCCATTGCCCTTAGTCTGCATTGTGGGCTTGCTTCCTGGATTGTTCTCTTTCCTGGTCTGCATGCGGACTCTCTTTCTGGGTTGTTCTCCAGGTACCCATGCCTGGCCTTCTTCAGTGCATTGCTTTGAGCATTACTGTTGTTAGATCTGAGTGATTGGGCCCTTCCCCTTGCACCTACACTTTAGGAGACATGTGTCTTGCTCCTCTTCCCTATTTACCCAGGGATGTATCCTTCCCACTTGAGGAGGAGGGGAGGAAAAGAGGAGGAACGAATTGGCATGAGTCAGGACAAGATCCCCTTCAGAGCAGTGTGAAGCTGGAACAGGAGGGCTGGGTCCATTTGTAGGCTTGTGTCGCTTCTCTTCCCTCCCTGCACCCACTTAAAACAACGGGGTTCAGCGTTTCCCTGTATTCTGACCTCAAACCACTCTTCCAGTCTTACCTGTAGTTGGGCTTCTCTGTCTCTCCCACCAGTTACTTACAATTTCCTTCAAGCATTCTGGTCATTTGTAAAAACTCTGTGCCCTCTACACAATGCTCGCTCAAACCTGTTTGCCTTCTTTGCCTGGTAGAATTCTACCCGTACTTTTAAGAATTAACATCTGATAGCCACCCCTCTCCATGATCCCAATCGTGGGCGCAGGGAGGTCAGATGCTGAGTATGCTTATAACACTTCCTATGAAAATGCATCACACTCTATGCAGGAGAGTTTTGTGCCCTTAGTCCAAATTTAGGGCACTTCCAGACAGCAAATGCTTCTTTATCTATGCTTATCCTCAGTGCCTACTTCAGTGCCTGGAACTCTCTAGTCAATAATTATCTTTCATTTGAAACATAATTTCACACTGAATGATCATTTCCTATGGAACTCACTAGCTCCCCTAGTGATCAAGTGGCATTAAGCAAGTTGCTGAAATCTAGCCTCTTTGTAATAAGAACATACATAATTACCTTTTTGAATAGCTATAGGATTTAACAAAGCAATATATCCAAATTGCTTCAGTATAATGATAGTGTGGACTCAATGAAGGATAATCTAGATTAAATTAGCTGCTATATTCTGGGTTTTTGTAAGTTTCAAGAGGAAATAAATGTCCTTTGAAGCCAGATATGTGGTTTCTATTTTGATGAGAAAAAAATGTATTAAAAGCATAATCTTCTCATAAGTGTAAAAAATATGTTAAAAAATTTCCTTATTACTTGCTAAGAAATATTCAATAGGTTACAATCGGGTTGAAGGTGTAGCTCAGTCAGTAGTATACTTGCCTTGATACATGAAGTCTTGGGTTCAATTCCCAACACTGTATAAAAGCAGGTTTGACATTACAAGCCTCTAATCCCAGCACTTGGATGACCTTGGCCAACCATAGGGAGTCCAAGGTCAACCTGGACTACATGAACCTCTGCAGCCCCCCAAAAACAAACAAACAAAAAAGAACTCTCACAAGCAACAGTCTCTTAGTAAACCAATTTTCTATAACTATTGATACTCTTGGCACTAAATGTAAAAAATTACTATACTATAATCTATTTTAGAGGTATTCATAATAATGTTATAACAATGACTAAATATAGGGAAATAAGGAAATCAAATATATTTTAATAACTTTAAGAACTTCACATAAATCTACATTAAACTATCATATTTTTATAACTATTTCTACAAAAAATACAAAAAAATATTCCTACTAAAATGCTGTAAGTATACAGATACACATTCAGTTTGGATTTTTAAAAAGCAAAAGTTAATAACAAGAAGATGTACTTAGTAATAAGAAATAGAAAACAGCTACTACAAGTTACTGTAAAGAAAAGCAAATCTAAACTACTGTTACCCTAAACTGGATCAGACTTTTGTCATTAACACATTGTGAAAGAACAAATGAAATTATTGACTAGTTGCAAGTAGTCCATCTAAATCCTATTATTAAGGAGAAAACTAGGAGAATGGAATGTGAGCTAAACTTGCGGGAAACATAAAAACGGGTTGACTTAACTAACTTGAATGCTAACACTCCATGGAGTGAGTATGGTAGAGCTGGCCTAGCCTGCTAAATAAATGATCATTTTGGCCTGCCAATACAAAATACCATAAAATCAGTCTTTTTGGCTGCAAAGTATTATGCTATTATGCTAATGTGTTTGCTTACAATCTCAGCTTCAGTGAGACTACAAAGCCTATCTTTCTACAATGGCTGATTATGCTTTTTTTTTTTTCACCATAGCAAATTCATTTTAGGTTCCCTTATACTATAGAAACTACTCATTTAAGGTGTCAAGTTATGAAAAGACATCTGAAATTGAGGTTGAAGAAGGTAGGAGAAGGAGGAGAAGGTAGGAGAAGGCACTGATAATGTAAGAAAACTTCAAAGGCACAGGAGGAACTCTGGTTAATCTTTAATATATTGTAGGTGGTAGACCTGAAAATAGATATTAGCCTTAACGATAGCAAAAACAAAGTCATAGTAAAGTGGCTTTTGTGCTTTAAAGTATAATAAATGGATTACCATGTCCACTTTTGCCATAACACTAAGGCATAAATATTTGAATTATTAACTAGAGATAACAGGAAAGAGAATTTTCCTTATGGAAAAAGATGGCGGAGCTTGGCATTGAGTTCTCTCTCCTTGCTTAAAAGATCCAGGCTGTGCTTTTTGAAGGCTTCTGACTGTAGCCGCAGTTCATCGTAAGCCTTTTGGATCCCGTCCACTCTGCGCTGAAGCTCACGGACTCTCAAGTTGCTGTCCACCGCCATTGCCTCCTGCTCAAAGCGCTCCAGCGCATGCTTCTTGGCCGTAGCGGTTGTCTCCAGCTTCTCTTCCAGCTGGCGGATCTCTGCCTGTTTGCTCTGAAGCACCTTGCCCCTCTCCATGGACAGCTGCAATAGTTCCTCTTTCTCATGCATGACCGTCTGCAGCCTGGCCTGCAGCTCCTGGCTTAGGCTGCTGTGGGCCTCCTGGTCCTTAGCCATCTGTGCTGCTGCCTGCTCGTATTGCTGCTTGAGGATCTGCAGCTGGCTCCGCAGCTGCTCCGTCTCCTTGGCGTGGGCGCAGTCCTGCTGGCTCTGCTGCTCAAGCAGCTCCTTCTCTCGGGTCTGGGCCTGGCTGGCATCCTGAGCGCACCTCTGCTTCATGAGCTCCAGCTCCTTGGTGAGCGCCTTGCTCTGTTCCGTGAGCTGCAGTACCTTGGCTTCTTGGTCTTTCAGAGCCTGGCTGAAGAGGCTGCTGTTCTCCAGCCTCAGCTTCTCATTCTCTTCCCTCAGCTTGACGTTCTCACTCTTGTGCTCGTCCTTGAAGCGGATCATCAACTCGTGGTTGGCTGCCAGGGTCATAAAGCGATCCTCCAGCTTCTGGACCTCCTCGCTCTGGGCCTTCATCTTCTCAGCCTCCTGCATCCTCTTCTCCTCCATCTCCGAGTTAAGCAGCTCCAGGATCTGGCAGCGCTCCAGGGCCTCGTCGGATCTCCGCTTCAGGATGCAGATGAGCTGGGACTGCTCTTGAATCCGGGAGCGGAGCATCGCTTTCTCGCTCTTCTCCTCTGACAGTCCCCGGAGGTTGGCCAGAGCTTCCCTCAGACCGGCCATTTCCTTAAACCCCGACTCGTCTTCCTGGATTTTCAGGTTTTCATTTTTCTTTTCTAAGGATTCTTCAGGGGGTGGGGTATCCATCCTGAGCGCCGGCTCTTCGGGCATAGACGCTCTCCGTGGGTGCTGACTACAGTCTTTCCCCCTCTGATTTCTAAAGACTGTTGCTATGGACTCTCGGCACTGCGGCAGTTACGTTTTCCAGTAAGGAGCCCTGTAATTGGTGGACAGACCTTCAGAATGCAGTGAAGTAACAGGGGCAGTCCAGAGCCGGTCTGGTCAGGCGACCCTTGCTTTTTTAACCAATCACAGCCCTTGGCTCACAGCCAGTATCCAGCCATGCAGTACAGAGATGCGAACCATAGTCAGTGTCCTTCCACAGCAGGGGACCGAGCCTGGCTCCGCCTGATGCCAGGCAGGAGCAAACAAAGCTTGCAGACGCTTATTCCTCCTCATTGACCGAAAATAAATGACCGCTTCTTCAAAACTCGCTGTGTGTACATACAAAGTAGCAGTGGTGTTCTTAGACAGTCGGAGCCCTAGTGCTTGGCTCAATTGTCCTAAATGAAATTTCTTTCGTTTCCCCTAGCATTGTTCTTCTATCTGGGAAGAGGTATTCTTAGATTTTCAGGACTCCTACTTTTATCTGTTTAGGAAATAAATTTACAGAAAGAAGCTTAATGGACAATATAAATGTGATAAACATTAGCAAAGAAAAAAAATCCAAGTGAGACTTACTATCATATACCACAGTTAATTCCGGAGGGATTAGATCATTAAATACAAAGAAAAATAAAAGTATTAAAAATGGAAACTAGAAGAAATAAAGGTATACATCAAATCTCTG